ATTAAACATAATTGATACATAATTGATAATTCACTCAAAAAGTCAAGAAATAGTGAAACTTTCGTCTGCACTAATGCACTTGGATGAATATTTAAGTTGTTCGGAAAAAATCCTTAGATTTCCTTAGATTTTTTCTCTTCCTTGAATTTTCCTTTTCGGCACTAGAATTTCCTTAGAAAAGGAAATTTCCTTGAAAATGGAAGCACTGCAATACGTCAATAACGAGATAATCGGGCGGCTGTTTCGCGAAGCAAGTGGCGTTGGTCATCTCTTTCAGTTGGCCGGGGATACATATTATTATTAAATTGGTAACTCCAAAACAGACCAAAAGTCGATCTCCAAATTCCAAAAGAACAAGCGACTTTATAATATACAACACATGCTACCATCATGGTTTCGTTGGTTAAACGAATTGCAGTTTCTGTTTTTCTCTACTCTGTGGGGATGTTTTATTGCTGTATGGTGCTTTGTCGTTTGTTATGGAGCATTATTCGAGAGGGCACTCACATTTTGAAATGTACTCCTATAGAACAGGGTATTAAGTATTTATATAATTGTATTACATAAATTATTTTACTGTATTTTTTATAATAGCATGAATTGTACACTACACTATTACAGTATCCCACCAATACTTTGTAAGGATGGGGCAATGCAGGGCCGTAGTATTAATTGGTAATTTTGATACCATATTTTATTCATTGGGTTCAACTGTGAAAGTGAAACCATAGATCTTGAATTATTGCACCATGTCTTCTCTACCACTTTGCATGGGCAGTCTAGAATATTTTTCAGGCAGTTCTGTTTTCTTGGGTTAGCCAGTTGAGCCGCAATGCTGCCCAGTGTGCCCAACTTATTTTTTTTACTTGTCTAACGCCAGATGATTTTACTTGTCAATGCAGAAGTTCTGCAGCTTAATTGGATGATGCAAAAAATCTGACAATGTCTCTAGTTAATCCATTGAGCCGCAATGCACCCCAGTGTGCCCTACTTTTTTTTTACTTGTCTAACGCAAGACGATTTTACTCGTCATTGGGGAAGCTCTGCAGCTTCATGGGTTAAAGTGTACAATTCAAATATTTTTGATAAGTCAGACAAAATGATATTTGTAAGCTAGCTCACAGTCCACCTCGGTCTGCTTCATGCCAGTTCCGGCTCTAATGTAACCAGTCACTGAAAAATGTTGATAGGGAGTGTGCTGAGTAGTATATGTATATGTATGTATATGTATGTAAATGGCAAAAAGTCAGCCAAATTTTTTTCTGCCCCCTTAAATTTTTCCTTCCCATATGCCTATAAGTACTAGTATATATATAAGATCAAAGAAGATTAATAGAGCTGATGGTGCAGGTAATTGTTGCAAAAATTTTACAAAAGGATTGTTTACAAGCTAGTGCATGGACTATTTACTAGAAATAGTCCTTTAGCCAATGCCAAATATTTCAAATCATCTCATTTAAACTTGTCCCAACCGGTGTTCATATGTAATGTTACTATGATGCTAATTTTTATAGTGGCCCTCTAAAGGGCTCTATACTTGAAAATGTTTGGATAGGAGCCTATAGCTAACTTGAAATTGAGTGCAATGGGCATTTAAATATTGCCATCCTCTCAATTCTCAAATTAGGGGCCAAGAGTAAGTTGCCCTCTCTGCCTCAGACCCTTTTCCCATCTCAGTGGCTCTGAACATGCATGGGAAAGAAGAACCAAATATCGAACAGGGCAACTACTACAGTCGTGCCAATAGAAGCGTTCCGAAAAATGTTGACCAGTTCATTTCCTATTAACTTCGAGGAGTTCCTCTGAACAATTCCTCAACAATTTGATAAGTTCCTTAAAAAGTTCCTAACTTCCTGTTTCATTGACCAATCATATTTAATTTTTGAGCAATCTGATTGGTCAATGAAACAGGAAGTTAGGAACTTTTTAAGGAACTTATCGGATTGTTGAGGAATTGTTCAGAGGAACTCCTCAAAGTTAGGAAATGAACTGGTCAACATTTTTCGGAACGCTTCTATTGGCACGACTGTAAGAGAGGGTTGAAAATGCCGATTGTTGTAAACTTTAATTTAGCACCAGCCTGTCTTGAAGATAAAAGCCTTGGAGTTCACAACTATGTGACAACAAAATCTAAAGTGAAATTTCACTATGTTGCTAATGGGGAGGTTGGTAAACCTCTGATGCTGTGTCTCCATGGATTTCCTGAGGTAGTATATTCTGCACTCTTTTATTATATATGTGTACACAATATAATCTAATATGTAGCATGATCCTCTACAATTGTAAACATTGTGCGGCAGGGGCTTATCAATGCTCATCTGACAGGAGGGGTGCAGATTTCTCGGGGGGGGGGGGGGCATTTGTGCGCTGCCGCTAGTAAAGGGGCTGATCGGGCTGTTGTATATATTTTTAGGCATATATATATATATATCGCCATAACCCCTGTTTTGTAACCCCGCCCATGTGATCAACTGATCAAGTATTTAAGTCCCTGAGCTAGGATGGACATAAAATGCTCAAATGCCCTGCTAGTACTTTAGTAACTTGCTAAATTAATGCGCACACTCACTATATTCGCAAATAATTATTAATGAATAGTAGTATAAAGTTATATAGTTGTATGCTTTTTCATAGCTTCCTTAGAATATTTCAAATTCGTGAAAATCGTATTAATAGTATTATAGTAACAAACTAACAAAGTTTTTAATAAATAAATGAAATAATGAATAGTTTTTCAAGTTCTCAATTTAGTAATAAGTAGGTACATTATACATTTTATACAGTTAGACTAGTTAGTCAGTTAATTTTGCTAAGGTCCGTAAGTCATTAAACTTAGACCTTAGCAATTAAAGTGGTCAAGTTTGGAAGCCTCTTTCGATTTCTAGTTCGAGGATAGATCTGTCATGTGGAGACAGCTGAAAGTATTCAGTAGCACATCTAGCTCACTTAAGTCCAAGTAGGTATCTGAACCTGCATTATTGTAAAGAGCATTGATAGCTCTAAGGATGTCTATATTAATGTTCTTAGAGTTAAATCTGACATTAAACTCATCGTTTAGTTTCTTCTTCAGCTCTGCGTTGAGTTCTCCAATAAATTCTTTTATCTGATGACCCTGATCATCGGGAGTCGCAACTGTTGTAGTAGATAGGCTTTGTGTCGCAGAGAGCTAAGTAAGGGGTTTCCAGTATTGAAATTTCTTTCGACTCAATGAATATTGAATATGTCTTCGTCTTTGATGTTGTTAATTGAATCCTGAATTAGAGTCAGCTCGTATTGAATGTCCGTCCAATCAATTTCTTCGGCCTGAAGTTCTTCATTAAATAGCTTGCCGAGATACTAAATTATATGTCAGTTATGAAGTGTTGTCAGACCGAAGATGAATTTTCCAGACATCGGTAATTTGTCGTACACTCCAGCTGCTGTTTCAGCCTGCGATTTCGTATACCCATACTCATCATCTTCCGAATCTTCATCACTTCCACCGGGGTTGTTTGCCACGTCTATCAGGGTCGTGAGGACAACGTACATCGAATCTTTCAGATAATCAGATATTACATAAACGGCTTCGTATTTCGGTGTTTGCATCAATAGACTTTGTCATTCGGAAACAGTCATCTTTGCCTGTGTCTTTGCCCAACGCCAGCCTCGTACCCAGGCGCTTTGTATTGCCACACCGTCGCGTGACGTGTGCGTGGAAATTTTGGATGTTGAATTATGGTTGAATGGCGTACTTCACAGTGGTCATCAAGTCGACATTGCATAGCCGAAGAAGATGGACCGACAATTGTTCAAGACGGAAAATAATGCTGTCCATCTTCATCCAACTCACTATTTGATTGTATATTGGCGTATAATATCGCGAAAAGCGTTTTGAAACCTTGGAAATAAACCGGTCTTAGTTGTCGCCATCTTTGTTGGCGTATTGGGCCATTTGCGGGATTTGAATAATATTCAACATGACATTCGATATGGTGTAAATTCATTCATCTCAATCACTCAAAAGTCAAAATGAAAAATATAGCCGTTTCTTCTCTCCCAAATGAATTAGAAAAAAACAAACCATGCAGGTCATATTAGCTAACTAGTACCTTATGGTTTTCTGTACACAAACTAACAAACGTATCTCAAAGCACTCCAAAACGATATTTTCCTATAACAGCTATCCACACTGCCAATAAATATTAAATACAATTTGTCAAGAATTTTAAACTGATAATTTCTCAGCTGCTATTCTATAGGATTTTTTAAAACTGCCATATATTGTACAAATTTATCTCATCTTTGCAATGATTATTTAACCTTAGGTGGTAGTGAGGCCTGCGAACAATCGAAAGTCGGCCGCAAACTGTACGGTATATTAGCTGAAAGAGAATAGACTAGTCTATACACTACAGTATATATTAATTAATATATAGCGCGCGTTAGCTGTCAAGAATAGGATGTTAAGCTATAAATTTCAACGCTGCTATTTTATAGGATATTTTAAAACTTTCATATATTGTATAAATTTATCTCCTTTTTTCACTGGTTATTGAACCTTAGGTGGCTCAGGCCTCAGTGCAAACAATCGAAATTCGGCCGAAAACTGTACGGTATTAGCGGCGTAAGCGAATGCTTATTGCTGCCGAGCGTAGCGAGGCAGCTCCCTATTTTTGACGTTAAATGACGTTCTTGCTTTTTCGTGCCCAGTCCCCGGCCGAGTTATATTGGGGAAACATACTGAATCCATGTCAGTCCGTCGGATGTCAAGATTTTTCGGAAATTGTCGTCAGCTCGAGCATTCGACGATTCTTTATTTTTATTCGATTTTGATTTGATTTTATTTATTTTGTATTGCGCTCGGATGATTCTTCTCAGGATTTAATACAGTTTAATTAATACGAGCTTATTCACATCACAGTATGTTGGATTTTCACGATGCAAAGGATGACAATATTTTGAATAATTCATGGTGGATAGTTTTATTTCTTTCTTTCCGGTGATATACATGAAGGCATTTATATTTAGATTTTCTGTTTAGTGTTCGATATAGAGGTATTGAAACCAATATGATTTCATGAATTTGCAGTTCTAATAGCCCACTGATCGTCTTTATATTTATACAAGGAGTCAAAATGTACTTTTAGTATCTGAGACATGTCCATTGGCTAGCATCATGATTATATGTAATATACCGGCTTACATCCATATATTCACCCGCTCAGAATTTCTTTCTATAATCTTAATCATTACAAATGAATGGTTATCTGAAGCTGACAAAAACATAGATTTTGTCTCCTCATCAGCAGATTGTTCAGTTGTTCTGCAACAGGGTAGGTCTTGTAGGTGCCATTAAAGCAATAATCGCGTCGTACTCATGCACCATTTAATTTCGCGCACCTTGTTCATATTCGCGCAGCTTTAAATTCAAGCAAGAAATTTCTGTGTTCGTTCTTTTTGGTTTGTTCAATAGAACTATTAACAATTAACGTACTTGTAACGAGTATTTTTTATCAAAATTATGTAATAAGACTAAAACATTTACTGTATGGTTCTCATTTGCCTAATACAATAACAATAATCTTTTATTAGCATTCCCATATATTATAGGTTCATAAATGGTGTTATTAATTATATTATTATAGGTTAATTAATGGTATTATTATTATAAAATATATTTCAAACGCACAAATATATCTCAAAACACACAAATATATTTAGCTAGAGTTCAAATGGATTATCTTTTCGTTGTGGCCTCCAATGCGGCGCTCACACATGATCGTTGCCACCTTTGACGACAATGTTTGAGGATCTGTGTCAAAATGCAAGCATTCGTAACGGAATGCTACGTGGAACCTGAGAATATCCCGACTGAAATTGTCCGGGAGGAAGACATTTTTATTTTTAATATTGACAGGACAACTTAAAACATATGATATGTCAAATGTGTAGATGTGCGTTAATAAATAAATCAACTGATTTGCATTACTAACAACCGGTGTCTCGTATTACATCACAAAGCTTTTCGCGCGGATTATATTTCGCACATTACTAAAATTCGCGCAAACCAGCGTTGTTGTGTAAGTTTTTAATGATTTGCATTATTCAAATAGATGCAGGTTTATTAGCATAGCATGACCAGTTGCCATGGCTAGCTTGCCACTGAATACTGTACAATGTCATATTGCCATATATATCAACAATGTTAATACTTGAATGAATTGGACATGTAGAGTTTAGTTTAATAATGGCTAGCTTCACCATTAACAGTATAATTATACATACAAAAGCAAGAAGTTATAAGCATTGAAGGGATTCATATAAAGCCCCCCATGCCAAGAAAGTAGAATTAGAATATTTAGCTGACCTTCGACTTTGTGCAAGGTATTTGATATTCAAATTGCACTTTTCGGTCTTTTCCTGCATCCTGAACAGGCGTATTAGCAATCTCGTACCCAGAGTATGCCCGTTCGCAAGTTAGGTCATGCCTAGCACCTAACCTGTGAACGGGCATACTCTGGGCTGTTTACATGATGGAAGGTGGGATGATTTTGATGTATTGAAATAAGTCACTAGGCGAAACGAAAGTTCAAATGCTGGCTAACCGAACTCAAATATTTTAGAGAAGATCATGTAGTTTGAGAAGATTTTTATAGGTTTTTGAACAACCATTCGTTTACAGTTAACTACAATCCATCTCTAGAAAATGAAGTGTTTCACAAAATCATCGCGCCTTATATCTCGTCCTGGCAAAGCGGTTTAAGCGGGATCCGTATAAACAGCCCTTATTCAGCAAATTGCGACGCTCTCTTGCTTTTGATCCCTTGGGGATGAGGCAGCACTTTCCTTGCGATAGTAACTTCTAGCAATCTATATTCTCTTTCAGCCGGCTAATACCGTACAGTTTTAACATGCTATTCAGCCTATTCTTGACAGTTAGCGCGCGCTATATATATAGTTGAAGAATACTTTTTGTATCCTGCTAGCTCTGTGTTTTCACCTTGTCTCTCCGCCATCTTGGTGTTTCTGTGCACGTGTAGCACGTCACGTGTGTTTATAATTTAAACTAATCGGGCAAAGACTGCTGGGATGCTTGCGAAAAATATGTTGCCGAATGACAAACTCTGTTGCCGAATGACAAACTCTGTTGCCGAATGGCAAAATCTGTTGCCGAATGACAAAGTCTATTGCCAAATGACAAAGTCTATACCAAAATGCTATCAAGCTG